ATTTTTTAGTAGTTCCAAATAATATTCTGCATTTAAATTTCGCAAAAAAAAATAATGGCCCGATAATAATGTGTCCGAATATCTGTGCCCAAACATTTACTTTGTGGGGATATTGCGTCCTTGTTTCGACAAGCCTGTGTTGGTTTTCTTTGTTCCAATATGGATAATTTTGAACATTGGGTTCATTATTTAAGATAAACGTGCATTCGTCAGTGAAACATATGTTTTTTAAAAATTCCCTATCCGTGTTTGCTCTTTCCATCATATCAAAACAAAACGCCTGCCGCCGTATTTCGTCCCCATCTCGTAGCTCTTGGTGCTTTTCATATTTGAAGGAATAGTATTTATGTCGTTTCAAAATTCGAAACGCTGTAGTGTGATCTATTCCTATTTCATGTTTCCTTGTGCTGATCTTTCCATCGTTCTCTTTCACGCACACTAAAACTTCCAAGTAGGTATCATTTCTTGCATCTTCTCTTTGTTCCTGCCTTGCTTCACATCTGCAGTTATTTATTAGGGTACCTTTGGTCTCAAATCTCTGGATATTCCTTGCGATTGTAGATTTTCCAGGCATCGGTCTATTCGGATACAGAGCAGCAAACATATCCGACACCTTTTGATAACTATTTCCTTGATAATATCATTTAATCATCAACACTTTTTCTTCGGTAGTATAATTCATGGCTAATATTTTCGATGTAGGTATGAGTTTTTAATAATAATAATAAAGCACTAAATAGATAAATTTCTGAAATGACAACTTCATTTGACAGTTATCTTTTACCTTGACTGATGCTCATAAGTAAATACAGGGCCATAAGAAAGGAGAAATATTTAAAAAGAAATCGGCGATAACTCGTAAACGGGCTAATCAAAAATATCTAAAGTTATTCTTTTGAATGTGGGTTTTAGTGCTCTTCAATAAACCTAAATAGAATTATTCTCTAAAATAATTAGGGAAGCCAACAATTGACCCCATTAAAATTTACATGGGATTTCCTATGTCCCGCTCGACGATGCAACACCCAGTATGTCATTATTACTTTGATTCCAAAAATACCTAGCAGACCTATTATATCCACGGAATATTGGAACACCCTGAATAATATCAAATGCGTCTTAGATCCTTTGTCTCAATTACGTCATTACACAAGCATTCAAAATATATAACAATGATATCAACCACTTCTTCAAGTAATAAAGTCAAAGTAAAAAAGTAAAGGAGTTTTCAGTTTTTTTTTAATAAAATAACATCCTTAGTTTTTGACAATTTTTTTTTCTAAGGTTGAGCACACAATAAAAATATACTACTCCACGCTTTATATTCTAACATAATACAAACTCCACCTTTTACGTTACAAAGTTCCTTTTGAAATAAAGGCTTTGAAAACGAAGCATTTTAAATAAAAATGCACTCTCCAAGGCTGTTATATTTTCACGGTTTGTTGTGTTTCGAGAAGCGAAACGCTGACAATGTACTGAACAACAAGATTTTTATAGAAAGTTGTTAAAGGTTTACTGTTCTCGCTTGTAATTCAAACTTAAAAATGACACGTTTTAATGTTAATAATTGTGACAAAGACTATAACAGTCAAAAATTTATTGTCTTTAGTTGATGTACATTTTACATTGAACGAGGTATTTTTAAAATAAAGCTAGTAAGTAGGTAGTTAAAGAAAAATAATGGGGGAATTTTGATTAAATTTATTATGTTTTGTTAGAAGTTTAAACATAGACACCAAGAAGAGCACAGCAGTGATCATGATATATATACATATATACACATATACCGGGTGCGTCTTAAAAGTGACTCATCTCTATAGCTTTTTTATTTTTTCTACAGAAGTATTCACTGGGAATGACAACAACTTTTGATTTTCAAATGACAACCTCGGTATTTTTTACTTTATTCGATAGAAAATGACACTCTGAATAGAATGACATATTATCATATCTCAATTTTTGAGATTTTTTGAATATGGTTTATATGAAATTGTAACATGCGGTTCATAACGACAATTTGGCGCGAAATAACAAGTGCGTGGTATCAAATTATTCGTGAAAAAATGCTTTTTCCAAATGTGCTAATGAGCCATCCTTGTTCTATTTGAAAAAATTGAGATATAATTAAAAATAAGATTTGGGCCTCTTTTAACCAGCCAGGAAAGACACGACAAACATTAGACGATCAAATATATTTTTCCAAGTTTTTAACACAACTATGACAATTACAGTTGAGGGTTGGAACCTTTGGTGTTACACAACAAAATAAAACACTAAATCACCACAATACACCAAAACACTTTTACTTTTACACTGGACGCGCGTTTCGCTAACCATGTTAGCATCATCAGCAGATGATTATAAACTAAAATACAATCTACAATTGGAGC